TATAAGATTTGGAACCACAAGTTGACAAGGAGAAGCTTGAGATTTTTTTTTCTTTTTTTTTTTTTGAAAAGAAAGGCAGCTTACCATGAATCAAGGGTCAACTGAAGAAACTTACAAGACAATAGTTGATAGTCATTCCCCCCGTTTTCCAACTATTTCCCTCACTATTATAAAATACAAGGTTAAGCAAAAAAATTGGCAGAAACCTACTTGCTAAACACATAACTTGGGGAGAACAAAAACACAAAAAAACAGAAAGGGACCAAGCTTTTTTGAAAACACAATCAATATATATACATCCACATAAATTTGGTTGTCCTAGATACGACTATGAAGGTAAAAACAGAAAATCTCATTTTTTGAGAGAATATCACCTTTTGAAAAGGCAAAATATTATAATTGTGTCAATGATATATGAAGCCTCAAATTCACAGTAGTATGTAATCATCATCACCTTGGTAGTGACTCAATTAATAGCCTGGTTCATATTGGACTTCTGAAAGTAATATTATCAATGTCATCCACAAATAGTTTGTTCAAAGTTCCCATGTGCATTTCAAACCAATCTTAATCATAAGTGAGACAGATTTTCTTACCTCACCAGGACTTGATCTAGCCCATTCTGGCTGAGACAAACTTTGGTTAATTTATATCCCCAGTCCATTCCCACCTTAGATTAAGACTGCCTATAATCATGAAGGATCAATTAACTATACCCTTGAATTATGATCATTGCCTCTTCTCATGAAGTATCATTGAGTTTCACCTTGATCTATATTTTTTAAACAAGAAGGGAAATGTGCCAGTCTTTTCAACATTGTCTCCTTTTTGGGGTTTGAGACCTGAGGTAAGTAATGAGGATGGACATGATTAATCAAGTATTTTGATTATGAGAGAGAGAGAGAAACAACAAGAGCAAAAGAAACTCCAACTATATCTCCTCCACCATGGGAGTCTTGGAGAGATCCTTCCAAACCCTGAGGTTTCAACAGTAAGGTTCAATGTCAAGATTGAATTTGCAGAGAGAGGTATTCTACTTCCCTTAGATAAACTGTGTTTTCAGCATTTTTTTTCTTGCTGATATATTGAGACATTTATTCCTATAGCTCCTGTTACAGAAATATCAGAAAGTGGTATGAATGGAACCTAGACAGCCCAACAAGCACCATAACCTGGAAGAATTTGTATCTCTCACTTTTGATCTAATGGAATCTCAACAGGCTCACTTGACATATTGACTTACAGGAAATATATAAAGATTGATATTCAATCATGAGGTCAATTTTGCATCAACATGCAGGATCAAGATTGATCAACCATCCAGAACCAGCCTGAGCCCATATTGGTCAAAGGAGGAGAGAAGCAGGTTAGACTCCTCCCCTGATCTACAGGCCGACTTTTCGAATCGCGATTGCCGCAAGTCCAGGGATAAGCAATTTGTGTTTTGTGTAGGTGGTTTTCAGCGAGAATCGAACTCACGCTTAGACAGCGGGTGATCATATACCAAAATTTGGGCCGTTTCTTCATACTTACCTTGCGTTCGCAGTCTTGGGCGATCAAGGATGCCTGGCTGTCGTCAGTAGGTCTGCGCATTGCACAGCGACCCATTCGCTCCACGCAGAACTGCTGGCGGGTTTGTGTCCATGATGCAAGCCGATGCTCAATCTCTTGAACGGACGGGCCGGCTTTCGAGCTGGTCCGCCTATCCTTTTCTTTTTTGCTACATTTCGCTTATTTCGATGACTAGCTACATTTCGCTTATTTCGATGACTATGCCCTCTACCATCCGAGGTAAGACACTTGCAACTGTCTCGATTCGCTTTATTTCATTTGTTTCTCTCCTAGAGTGCACTACACATTTCTTCGTCCCCTACCATCTAAAATGATATCTCATCCCTCCCGCGCGCGTGGAAGTCCCAACATGTTCACCTTGTATTTGCCTCGACAAATTGTCTGCGTTGAATGTGTTTTGTGAGAGTTATTTCCGTTTGGAGTATCAGGTATGCAGTGCTCGCGGTGTGCACACTCCAGATCGGGCTCTTGACCGTGCTCCTCCTCTTGACTGTTCTTCCTCCTCTTGACCGATCCTCTTCCTCTTGACCATTCTTCTTCCTCTTGACCACACAACACTAGCCAACTCTATCCCCACCAGCTACATCAATCCATCACTTCGACTCTTGAAGCGGAGAAACATACATACTTCACTCAACCGAACTCGGCTGCCAATCCGGAATGTCTTCCAGTAATAGTTTTTGGTGGTGGGGCTCCACTTCAGCTGGTGCTTCGACTGAATTTGATCGTCTCTTGGGTACTGCTTTTTTTTCTCATCTCATTAGACGAGACAAGTGGATAACTAACTATCATGCTAAACCTTTTCTCCTTTAGAAACTTGCACATCTTCCAATTTGCCTTCCTCCACACCTCCCCCCATCACACACTCTCTCAGCCTGTCTGACTTGATCAGATCCTCAGCAGTTCCTGCATCACACGCCCTCAAATCTCTGCAAAAGCGACTCGACCACCCCAATCCTAACGTGCAACTCTTGGCCATCTCGGTTATCGACGTGTGTGTCAAGAATGGCGGGGATAGCTTTCTGAAAGAAGTCGGCGGGCGTGAATTTAGCGAAGACTGTGCTCACATCATCAGCAATCCAATCTCCAATCGAGAAGTGAAGGAGAAACTTAAACGTGATTTTCAAAATTGGGCTCTCGCCTTCGAATCAGTACCCATGCTGGCCTCATCCGAACTGGTTACTAACTATCGTAGGCTCAAGACACTCGGAATCGATTTCCCCCCAAAAGATCCGTTGGCTACCGCTGCCATGGTAGACTCCATGTCAGCACCAGAGTGGCGGGATAGTACCGTTTGCGAACGTTGTCGGACTGCCTTCAGTTTTACCAACCGAAAGCACCACTGTCGGAACTGTGGGGGTGTATTCGATGGACAGTGTAGCGGCAAGAAGCGAGCCTTACCTCACTTTGGTGTCACTGAAGCCGTCCGAGTTTGTGATGGGTGTGAGCGAAGTCTGGCTGCTGGGGTGTCAGCTCCTATCAAATCTGGCTTGGGTTCAATCCGGCGGAACAGCTTCTCTGGCGAATCGTCCCATCCCTTCCCCTCTAAGCTGTCCTTTGGTCCGAATAACCATCAACGCAGTGCTACGATACATTCTGGTACTACATCAGCTCGCGCTACACATAGATATACCAGCTCATCTCCAGCACCTCAGCAACTCATGAATACTGCGCTCAGTCGTGAAGAAGCGGATTTAGAACGGGCAATTGCGCTCTCACTCCAAGAATCGGCTGCCTCACAACCATCATTCCCTCAGGCTACATCAGCACCAAGTCTCCAATCATATCATTCCACTCCCTCAAGAACTGCAGCATCAACTCACCAAGATGATAGTGACGAACCCGAGCTGGCTGCAGCCATCGCAGCCAGCTTGCGTGATGTACAGTTGTCTTCCCACCCTCACCCCAGCGCACCCATGCCCCCTCCTCCTTCAAGAAGTCTTGAAATCTACCCCGCTAGCCTCGTTAGTACCCCCATGTCGGTTAATGTTTCACAATACATGCCCTTGACTGATTTTATCCTCGTCTAGCCCCCGCCTCATAAAGGTCCTGATGAAGATCATCTCAACACTTTACTCAATTTCACAGCGGATGTCGATAAAGCTACTAGGCTCGGCCAACTTGTTCCATCCAACGTTGATCTGAATAACCGACATGCCCAGGCCCAGGTGGCTCGACTTGATCTGATCAGAGGCATTGAAAATGCAGAACGCAGAACTTGTCAGCTTTCATTTAAGAGTTTTCGGAATCCTAAATGACACGTATTTATTCTTACTTTGATTATTCGGGTTTCTCAGGCACGCTGAAGGAAATGAATGACAAGCTATCACAGGCGGTCAAATTGTACGATCGTCTGTTGAGCGATCAAATTATGTATCGCACCCGACACGTTGAGCCAACCGGTACTTCTGCTCAAAGTGAGTCAATTTACTTTTACTACTCAATCCTCCAGGCTGATGTATACCTTTTTCAATAGCCTACCAAAATTACACCCACAACACCCCTTCTCATACCGATCAACCCTATCAAACCAAGCCAAATCAAGTTTTTCAAACCAGCCATCAAGCTTCAATGTACCCTTCACACAACCCTGCTGTTCCATATCCTGGCCAAGCAGTTCCTATCTCTCGCAACTTGACCAACCCAGCTCCTTCCGATTTTAAGGTGCAAGCTGAAGCCGATCTTCATCCCATACAAAGTCATCAGGTGTCATCAACTTATCCATCACAGCAGTATAGTTATCCAGGGCCACAGCAGATGCCGTCTCATGACCGGGCCGTTCAATCTGTCGGACATGATCAACTGTCATACTCTCAAGAACGCCCAGCTATCACCTCATCTCACACTCCGGTGGCTCCAACCAATCCCGCATTACCGCATTTTATTCATCACAGTGAGGCATTTCCAACGGACGCGTGGTCATCAAGCAACCCATTGAGCGACTCCCGTTTATCAAACGACCCATCTTCTGCCACGCAACCCTCAAATCCGTCAAATAATAGCTACATTCACTTGGCCTCTCAGCTTCCTCCGATGACACAGTCTCCTGGAATTTGTTCTCCATCGGGAGCTCAGCTGGTAGGAAACACCACCCAGATCAGTCCCCCAAATCAGTTCAACCCTCATGATACAGCCCAAGTGAATCAACCCCAACAGTATAGCCAACCGACAACAGAACTATCCTCAGTCCCCCACATTATCGGTTCCGTTTCACAAGCCCATCAAAATTCGCATCCTCCCAGTCCGCAGGGCGGCCCATCGGAATCCGTTCAACACGATGTACAACCTTCGTTCGCAGTTTCATCCAAGGCGCCCAGCCCAGAAGTCCATCATCATCATCGTCCACTAGGAATGCACCAGCAGTTATCCTTCCCATCAGCGCCTCAAACATCAATTGAATCTGCCGCACCTTTGCCCACCTTCCCCAACGTGCCCAACACACAACTTTCTTGGTCTAGCTCCCCAACTGGCCCCCGTCATCTATCACCGCTTGACGTGCCGACTCCTAGACAAGAAGAAGTGGCCCCCTTGATTGAATTCTAACTTGTTGTAATGAAGAGTTATTGCTTACCTTGGGGGTTATTGTCGATGAAGATTGTGTCTTTTCACACGGCTGGTAGTGTTATATTGCATATATTGTCTCAGTTACTCTTGAAGGTAGATATTGTGGCTCCATCTTTCCCTCCTCCCCTCACAGCACATGCTAAATGGTAAGATTTTTTGCGCACATTAGCTATATGATGGTGTTTCAATCCCCACCTCCTCCTTTATTTTACATCCAAGTCCTTGGTCAATATTGTCGATTTGATGATAACCCTTAATTTTTTTGATATTTATAACAAACATCTACATTCTTCTAAGTACATGTACATCTTCTTCTGTCTCTCACAGATTTTTTTGTTTTTTCTTGTGATGTGCTGAGTATGTTTTGATGTACTTTATTATTTATTTTTCTTCCAGGGGGGCTTGAATGATAGTAATGGGGTTCCTGTAGCTGCTTGCTTACAGTTGAAATTTTTTAAAACTGCTTGATATAAGGTTTGGCTGTGGCTGTGAGATTGCTACATTTTAGCAATCTATTTTATGTGAGCAAGCAGACATGATTTTATGACATTTGCATAAAAATACCTTATGTGAACTGGGCTGTGTGTGTGTCTGTGTTTGCTGCTCATTATGAGAGAGTTGTGAATTTTCTTGTATGAAATGACTTAATATTTATTCATGAACTGACAACACAGCATGTGTATACTTGCAGTCATGATGAAAAGAGTATTGAGCCACATTATTGGGCAGATGTTGAGATTATGCTGAATTACAGCTGGTGTGTGAGTCAGGAAGGAAGTTGAGAGAAGAGTATGGGGGAGAGGGAACAGTAATGAGCCAAGAGAAAGTGTGGTTAATGAACTCACTTCATAGCTATCTAACATATTTACCTCCCTTGCATGCTATTCTTTAAATCCATCTCTTCCATCCCTACTTTCCTCTCTGCTCTTCATAAGCTGACCCCACTTTCTCTAAAATACACCCACCCTCACTCTCCGCTTTCTCACAGTCTTAATCTGCTCCTGCTTCTTTTTTCCTCTTCTCTCTTCTCTCTTTTCTTTTTTTTTTTAAACAAAGAAAAGGGCGGGTTATTCTACTTATGTTTTACATTCTCCATGCTATCACAACACACAGCCACAAGAACATGAATTCTGTTTGGGTTTTATAGGAATTGAGGAAGATGAAATTTATGAAGAGTTGACACAGACAAAGAAGCCAGAGAGAGAGAGAGAGAGAGAGAGAGAGAGAGAGAGAGAGAGAGAGAGAGAGAGTAATAAAAACCATGTATGTGTACTATATCAACACTTTGATGGAACACTTTATATTTTTTT